GGACTATCGACCACCCTCGCGACAGCCACGAGCGAGAACGCCTTCAAATTCGGGGAGTAGACCGCCCAATTTCGAAGGAATGGAGGTTTTGAACGAAAATTTTCCGAATCTTGCTTCCTTAGACACCTCCTTTTGCAACCAGGAAAAATGCGATGATATTAAATCATTCGTCACAAAGGGCATTGCTTACAGAAGAGCCCGACTGGTTTGCATTTCCGGCTCGGTATTTGCAATATTATTTGCCCTCCTAGAAACTTGTTTCATGTTTGCTAGCTTGGCATTGCGTGTAAAATGCTTTGACATTGCTGGATTTCTGGGAAAAGTCTCCCTGCTTTTTCTAATCGCGGTGATATTAGAGTGGCTGCGCTGCTGCATTTGGCGTGATGTCACCCCTAACGCCAGTAACTACAATCTACAAATACAAGAAGCACCAAATGTAATGCACTCAACTACACTTGGTCAGCTGGATGAGGGAGATTCCAACGCACTAGGATTGCAATCCAGCATTAACCCTTTAAGTGATCTCCGTGTAGGCATGACACTGGGTGAACTGACACAGACACACAATTTTGCGTCCAGCACGGGGCCCCTAAGAAGGTTTTCCTTGGATGGCAAACAAGTTGCAGTCTCTTGTATCCTCTTTATTATTTACTTTATTCTCTTGGGCTTCCTTCTTGATGGCGCTCTCTGGATTCCCTCAGAATATAACCGCTCAGTCAGTCCGGATCAGACCGATCACAACAAAACTTTTAATGGAACAACTCCTGTGACTGACTGTCCCGCCTCTGGGTTCCGTACGGGCCTGTGTTTCCTGGTGATCCATGGTTTGTTACTTGGTGTTAGGATAACATTCTGCTGTGTGAGTGACTTCGGTGGAGCTGTTCGCTTCTTTATCTCTCGATTTCGTAAACCGTCTCCCCAACCTCCATCTGCACTGGTAGTTGAACAACACCTTTCTATGTTCCCGGACAAAATGGACCAAGTTGACGCAGGAGAAACCGAAAATAAATAAAACGATGAATGAACGGCCTCTCGAAGAGGTTGCAACTGATTCATCTCCGACAAGATGGAAAAGTGGAGTGTATTCTGTGCTATTCCTTGGGAATTGGGTTCAGACCCGAAAACTATCGCCACAGGCTAGTCAGATTTATGATAGAGTTTGTTCCACCCCCTGTCAATGGTGTTATTTTCCATTCTTTCACCCTTGCCGAACATTTCTCCAAAATGGCCTGATCCTTGCGTTTCACATAAAAAATATGAATGAGCGCTGATTTGGGTGGCAAATCTCCGTCAGTTAGCGGTGGAAGTCACAGCTTTGCCGTAGAGTTTGGTCAGTACAAACAAATGTCCGAGAACAGTTTGACTACACGTGGCAAAGGCTGTTGGACGATTTAACCGATAAGTGGACCATGTAGAGGCTATACAAGTCTTTGCGAAACGTCAATGGCGAATTAAGTAGAAAACGATCCAAGTGTAATGGTTAATGCTTGACTTTACTTGATATTGATACGGAAAACGGTTCGAATGTTAAGGCAATAATCAATTGTAAGCTGATCGGTTATAATGCGAATGCAGTCTCTGTGCCTGAAAACAACAGAAAAACTGCGGAAGCCAATTGAGCAACTCATGGTAATGTCCACGATTCCCACTTTTCAAGACAATAAGCTATCTATCTCATCTCTCATATATTCGGGGCAGTCGCAGTATTAGTGCCAACTGGCTCACCTGTTTTGACGCTTTTTTAATGAGTATTTATTACTTACTGTTGGGAGACAGCGTCTAGAAGTTCAAGTGCAACAACAACTATCCGAACTTTTATGTGGTATCTTAAAGTACGACAGTAAGGGCTGTGCAAAAATCACAAAATCATATGGCAAATTTGTTATGTGAAGTAGCACTTAGCTCCGACATCATTGTTTATATGGTCTGTCGAAAATTCACCTCAGCGTGGTATTCAAGGAATGCACCTAGCGTTTTCGATATATACCCAATCAATTTGTGCCAGCCGAAGAGTTGTATTCGAAATTCTACATGGACCATATTAAAATTATCGCTGGCAAACAGAGTTACACCATTAAAGAACAGAGTGTTCGGACCATTTAGCAGCTTTACTAATTATTTAGTAATTGACGCAGTTAGATACTCATAAAAATGGTAAAATTCATAATAGTTAGGGGGTTTTTGTAAACTTGCTTAATTTAGTTGACCCAATTGTGAAAAAAGTTGCGGTCTCGATGAAAGTCAAATCCACACAGCAGGGGAGGCTTTTGTGCAGCCAACACTCTACCATTGAGCTACGAGGCTTACCATGCATCGTGAATTTAATCACACTTGGATATATTTTACCCACCTAACTTACTGCTTGTATGGAATCCAGCATTACGGGACAGATAGGATTTCCTAAGAAATCATCTAGAATCCACCAGAATGACTACTAGACTCACTTAATTGGTAGGGGGGAGGGCGTGTGGCAGGTCATGCACTTTGCCCAAAGATGTGAGTGCTCA